ATTTACGTGAGGTTGTGGCGATCGAATACCGGGTCGTTGTCATGGTTAGGAGCCCATACTATCACTTAAGTCGAATTATTAATCCTAGGCCTAATTGGGAAGACCTTGAATGAGTAGATAACAAACAGTTCTTTCTATTAAATAAGTCCAGGATAGTATTCCGGTCACTACCAGCACAAAACAGTCCCCCTTAGGACCTCCTCTGAAGTTAGCAGGAGATGGACTGCCGGAAACATAGATATAAACTATTTTGTAATTAATATGTAATAATATTAAAACGAGTAATTAATAACGAGACTGAAGTGATCGTATAGGCAACGGACCAAGACGAAGAAATTTTCTGTTCGGTTTCAGTGGGAAGAAAGAGAGCTGATTTTCAAGTGCGAATTGTTTGTTAATAGCGGTTCTGTAGTCGTATGATCCATGTAAAATATGACACGCTGGGCATTGTAGTGATTACGGTTCTGTAGTCGTATGATCCATGTAAAATATGACACGCTGGGCATTGTAGTGATTACGGTTCTGTAGTCGTATGATCCATGTAAAATATGACACGCTGGGCATTGTAGTGATTACGTTTTACTTTACCGATCATATAACCTTATTTTCCAATTCGTAATGTCAGATGATGGTATTTCAAGTGAAAATTGTAGTTCTGACCTACGATCATTGCTCAAGAAATTAAAACGAAAGGATATCTAAGGTGACTTACCTCCAAAAGTCCGATTTCGTTATCATACCACTTGCGCATTTTTCTATTTTCTCTATTACAGTCATAACTAATTAGTTTCACTTCCACTGAATGTCCAGGGGCATATCTAGGCATACGCGCGTACGGCCGTGCCTAACGTTCAAAATTCAAGATATGGGTTTTCTTTGGTATAAAATCTTAATCTATTTGTCTTCAACCTAAAAAATTTGGAAGAAAATGCTAGTGATCAAAATGTAATTTTTTGTAAATACTTTATGTCGTATGTAGTGCTAATTTTGTATAGATTATATACGTTAAAAAAGGTTATCAGAATGCACCATTTTAGGATTCAATTTCAAAACTTTACAGGGGGAGGCCTCCAAACCTTCACAAGCAGGATAGTGAGATCCCCATTACACACACGTGTGACGGTTCGTTGTCAACGCGGCTGATTCTGAGTTTGTGAAACTGATAATATACGTTGTTACTGTTATGTCGAAGACATAGATTATTCGTGTGTTAGAGAGGTATAAACCAAAATGTTTCGTGGATTGCAACATGTTTTAAAAGCTGCATTGCGTACATTGTTTAATATTAGCCATATTGCCATCGCCGGCTTGGTTTGAATTTACAGAAAGCGTAGCTGTAAATTGTATATGAAAGTTTGTCTTTGTTATTTCATGACACTGATAATTAATTTATTTATACCAGATAATTACTATAGGGATTCCGACTCACCTTCAAATTGGGTATTAAATTGCACTCGACAAATATTTTTTGTTCTTGAAAATTGAGCGAATCTAATCGTGTGCCTCGTTACAAAAACAAAACTATAAACTAGAAGTTGTGAGTTTACGTTATACTGACTAACGCTGTTAATCGTTTCGTGATTACAATTTATCTTAATTTGAACGTTAGTAATTTCTCTGTCACACGGCAGTGTGCTAATTAACTTTCGTATAATATCTATATCTATATAATAATTGTATATATAGATCATTACGAATACTTAATTACCTTCACTAAAGTGTATTCTGTTTTCGCTTGTTTTAATTTTAATTGGGATTTTTGGTTTGCGTATGTTCAGATGTAAAGATATTACTCATAATAACCTATTTAGTGTAATGGGAAGGCTTAGAAGTGCCTCATTTAGCTTATTAGGATATGATCGAAATACTTAAATGTGTCGATATGTGAATATTCCAGCTAATTACATATGAGCAATATGCGTCTATTTGTAATAGAAGCTTTAAAGTTTAACAAGATTAAGATACCTGTGTGTGTTCATGATGAACATGTTATATTCAGGTGACACCACGACTAAAATTAGGGTTATTAGCAATTACAATGTAGTTATAGAATGGCTCATCCACAAAATCCGACTTCATTTACATACAACGTTTACGTTGAGATTTGAATTCATTAGCAAAAGTCATTCGACTTAAATACCAATTTATTTATTCGCTGTTACAAACATCATATTGTTATTTTTTTCTGTTAGCTGAAGTTTTACTCTTGTGTTTAAATATTTACTGAAAAAAAACGAATTTATACAATTATAAACTGTTAAGATTAAAAATATTAGGTTGTGATACAAAGCTCAAACTAACCAAACGCGAGGATTACGTCGAGAATGGGCTGTAACATAAGTATGTTTTGTGATGTCATAAAGATGATTAATAATAATAAATAACCCTATACTGGAGTTAACATTTAAAAAAAAAAAACTTTTTGTTACTATGGGACCAATAATTCTCATCACTAAATGTTCACATGTAATTGGATTTTCATTACGTTGTTTAACAGGCAAATGTGAAATTTTCAAATTTCCTTGTTTTCACATTGGGCATGATTAATTTTTAACCACAGTATTACGTAACTTAGTATCTAAATTTGTTTCGTCTATTTGTGTGTGTGTGATTTTACTCGTATTTAATACACAAAGTTGTTCTCATTCGTTTCTATTTTCGCCGCTTCGTGGCAGCACATTCCAATAGTCTTTCCAATGTCGTCTAAATTTTTCACGTGCACACTAAGATTTTTATTTATTTTTTGTTTAACTTAGAATGCAAGTAAGATTTATGCAAATTACACATTTAGACGATTGGTGCGCAAGTTGAACTTGACATATTTCTGATTAAAGAAGTTAGCACACAGGATCACATATAAAAGTTGTAATGGTTTTCAAGCGAGATCCAAAATTCGAGCACATTCGGATAGTTTACTGTTACTCTTCGTATTCCCAGACATACAGAAAACGACGGTATATAATTTACTTGATATGATGGAATGTTTGATGTTGTTTTTGTATTTTTTATTACTATTTAAGACGTAAATATTTGACAAACTTTAAATACTATTAGAGAGTATGCGACTTTGAAATAATATTCGTCTAACCGGATAAAAAATATAACCTTATAAAAGGCGTTCATATTTTTTTTCTCTGTGACAGTACTCACACACACACACACGCCCTGTTTAAAAAATAATTACAGTGCTGAAGCTTTCGTATTTTTACTTTTTACTGTGCAGCCTGAAGCCATGATAATTTTCAGTGTGGAAAATTCGTTGTAAAGGAGTTAAGGGTCGTTTATTAATTTGTTGTAGCGATTTTTCCCGGTCCAGCGCTTTTATTGAAAATATACTTTTACTCGATACCTGTTAGAAAGTAAGTTTCCTGTACGGCATGTTATTTTATCTCGAAGTAGTTTACACTAAACTGAAGTACCCTGAATAATACATTATGACTGTTTTGACTAACAACTCGATCAAATGTTTCCTTTAAGCCAAACTGAGTTATTCTGTAGGGGAACCACATATTGGCATAGGTTGAAGAAGCGGAGAGGGGGATGGAGCATTGGGGGTACGTGCCTCACAATTTTGTCCCTTTAGCGATGTGCCCCTTTGAATGGGGAATATATATTTGTGTATAACTATCATGAAAAGTTGTTATCTGTTTTGAATTCAGTGTTTACGGTTAACATAGCAGATAAGGTAGGTGCCTCTCAAATTCTCATATGTTCTTATTACTATATTCAAACTTTCCAATGCGTTAACTATCGTAATTTTGTATTGTTCTATTCCATAAAGTGATGTGAAACTTTCGCTGTCTGGAATTGAAATGAATTACTTTGTTGGTCTACCAGTTAACACCTTCGAAATTTTAGGAGCATAAGTTTAAAGATAAATGGTGAAAAGAGCTAGAAGTAAATTTTTTAAACTTAATTCTGTTTTTTTAAACCATCATCATTTACAAAGCTTAAAAAAGTTAGTGAAAATTGGACGCTAGGGTTGCAAGGATGACCGTTTTATTTCCTGTTAACTGATCACATGAAAAATCTACTCTTAGTCCTTCGAACGACAGAGAAGTAAAGGATCCAACTGAACGGTTTTATTTCATAGTTATTGACTCTGCCCGTATGTAGTAAATATTTTTTTATTAGTTGGTTGGCTAGTTGGCATTTTTTGGCGCAAAACTACTGGGCTATCAGCGCCCTTTATTAGTTTAGCCAAATACTATCAGAAAAGTATGGTTACTAATGGTGTGAGATGTACAAAAACCACTTTACAGGAAATACTTTTAGACCAGAACTTGAGGTGTACACACACACTCCCACATTTTACCGTTTATTAGTGTTGTTGTTCAACTATGGTAACAAAAATAGCTCGTCTTCTCTAATCTGGATTAGTCTGTGTTAAAGTGTAATTTTTAACTATTGAGTTAATTAACCATTGAATAGCGTAACTTTTGTGATTGCTTCTTTCCCTCTTTTAGTCAAATTTTTGTTTGCACTTTAGAATACCAGTATAATGAAAAGTTTAATTTTTATCAGTAATTATTAATTTTTGCTTTCAGTAAGTCAAAGAGCCAAGAGTTTGGCTAGAGTAGACGGTGGGTACTATACTGTCGATTAACTGTTTTTCTTCTACTCTATCAGTTCTAAATTAGGGACAGCTAGCGGAGTTAGTCCCTTGGGTAGCTTTACGCGAAAAAACAAACAAGACAATTAATACAACAAATTGCTGTATTTGGTGTGCCTGTATAACTCCCACGAAATAATATAAAATTGTAAGACTAAAGTAAGTTCGTTGAAATGCAATGTTTCGTTCAGGTCTGATTTGCGTATCTGACTTTCTTTCTTCAGTTAGCTTGTGGAATGATGGGTCGTATTGGAATTTGTTGTAACATACACTATATTCATTATGAAACAGTGCCAACTAACGTATTTAGATTTTTCTAGTTAATTTTGGCAGAAATACAGTATTTATGATATAAATAATTTCTCCCCTCCCCCCTTTTTTTTTGCAGGTCGAAATGTTTAATATAGAGACTCCACATTGACAGCCAAGAAAATGGACTGGACTGTGACAAGAGGGCCGACTTGGAGTTTATTTCCCAAAATGACTTCTTATCCGGGAGGTGTAGGTTACACATCGTGGAATGTCTTGAGACAAGGTCATCAGAAAAACTTTCTCAGTGTGAGACGGACGCGATGTTTTGTTCATTGTGTTGTGTGGTTATCGTGCCTTGTGTTTTTGAGGTTAGTGCAGACAGTAGCTGCTCTAGAGGACACAAACATCAGCGTGTCTTATACAACATTTAATGAGAGCGTGAATTTTACGCATATAATTGTAGATCAGGACACAGGGAGGGTGTATGTCGGTGCCACCAACTGGCTGTATCAATTCGATAGTTCACTGGAGTTGGAGAAAGAGGTCAAAATAGGTCCCGTGGAAGATAGTATCCAATGTTCTCCAACGGACTGTTTCCACCAGAAAAAGATGGTCACAAACAACGTCAATAAAGTCCTAGTCATCGACAGTCAAGCAGGAAAGCTCATTGTCTGTGGTAGTGTCCATCAAGGAGCCTGTCGACGTCATCAGCTTGGGAACATTAACATTGTCGAAGACCTGGTTCCTGTTCCTGTAGCTGCAAACGACGAGAACTCTTCGACATTTGCCTTCATTGGTCCAGCACAGTATTTTAGTTACCCATCCAGGGTTCTCTATGTGGCCACTACTAATAGTCGCCTGGGGCCATACCGGGACATGGTCCCTGCTATAACAAGCAGGAGTCTTGAGGAGGATACTGGTCGTCTATTTGGAATAATTGAGAAGTCGTTCTCTACCATTGCCAGAGTGGACATTAGTTTTCACTTGCGGGACTACTATTTAGTCAGCTATATCTACGGCTTTCATTCTGGCGGCTTCATCTACTTTGCTTCCGTACAGAGGAAGTCTCACTTAAGGGCGTTAGAGGAGTGGGGTTACATGACCAGACTGGCCCGAGTTTGCGCATCCGACGCTGGATATAATAGTTATACAGAAGTGACATTACAGTGTGTGGGAACAGACGGTACCGAATTCAACCTGCTCCAAGATGCCACTGTGGGCCCAGCTGGTTCTGATCTTGCGACAGCACTCCAGATTGATACAGGGTCCAATGTTTTTATTGGAGTTTTCGCCACCAGTGCAGATCATACTTCTGCGTCTTCCCCTCCCTCCGCCGTGTGTGTCTACTCGCTGGCCGAAATAGAACAACGTTTCACGGAGAACATTCATATGTGTTATAATGGCAGTGTGCTAGCACGCAACATGGATTATATAGCCGGAAGCATAGAAAATTGTCCTGAGCCTGGGGTGCGTATTGGAAAACTTTTAAAGTACAAATATTAATTATCATTACATTTACCTATAACGGTTTTAAATATTAGTTAGACAAGGTAACTCTGAGATCAAAGTGCAAGAAATTGGGTTTCGTTTGTTCTTATTATGTTAAAAATACATAAAGACTTGAAATATTTCCTTGTTCAAATTGCTTCTCAGTGGAACAGCAGTATTTCTGTGGATTTACAAAGCTAGAAACCGGGTTTCGATACCCGTAGCGGGCAGAGCACAGATAGCCCATTATGTAGCTTGATATTTACTTACAAACAAACAAAATTGTTCAAGTTTTTCTGTATCGTACATTTTTTTAAATAATGTTATTCACCACAAAGTTTAGTTTATTTGGCTCTGTCCGTGACCATTTGAAAAAACGGAAACACTTGATGGTGATAAAATAAAGAAATTAGACTTTTAAAGATAACAACCCATAAATAGTTATTCGTTTTTCTTTATATAGTAAGAACTAAAGTAACCCAATTTGTTGCACTTTCATTTCAGTTGTTGCTAGAGTTAACTTGTTTCTGGCTTGTAAAAGAGCATTTGCTGGAAACATCGCCAAAAAATAAAATAATATGTAAGCAGAAATACTTTCAAAAGTTTAAATTCTATTTAGTTACAACCTAACATACATCCGGGCAATTAGTCGGCATCTGGAATGTAATTAAGAGCAGTGTAGCCTGTTTCATACCGTATATTTAAGGAAGATGAAACACATTTATATGATTTGTTTTTGTGATTACTTTAGTGAATAAAGTAAAAGAATGCGCTTCGGTCGCACACTGTTCTCGTACAGTAGTGTTTTGAGAAGAATGAGAACAAAGAAACACGCACGTACAGATTTAAACATTCTCTTTTGTAAGACAACAATTTTAATATAGAATTACGTATTATAATACAATAATACAAAATTATTACATTCACGTTTTTACATTCGGAAGAAAGAGGTTTCAGAAGAAGGCTAATATTACCCTCCAACCTTCTTAGTCATTGAAAGTTTTAAGAAGTTTTACGATTCAGTTGAAACAACCTAAGAAAACGAAAATTGTTGATTTTCTTTTAGTTTTCAGTATGAGCAGCCGAAAAGTTGTTTTTATGCAAGTTTCAAAATTGACGAGTAACCAATATCAATAATTTTAATGTAAGAAAAAATCGTTTTGCCTTCTGTTCTTCTTGCTTCACAGATTTCCTTAAACAAAACTGTGGGCCCGGCATGGCCAGGTGGTTAGGGCGCTCGACTCGCAATCTGAGGTTCGCGGGTTCGAATCCCCGTCACACCAAACATGCTCGTCCTTTCAGCCGTGGGGGCGTTATAATGTGACGGTCAATCCCACTATTCGTTGGTAAAAGAGTTGGCGGTGGGTGGTGATGACTAGCTGCCTTCTCTCTAGTCTTACAC